CAATTCTGTTGATGCTATATATCCTACCAACATATTATTATCTATTATTGGAAATCCTGTGTCTGAATAACCTGAAATTGCTATTGTAAAATATAATTAATTAGCTAATAATAATAATATTACAGGATATTTAATAAAATACATACATAAATTTTTTAATTTTGCTTTTAATTCACCCACAGTATTCAAATCATTAACATCAATAACTTCTAAATCTTTTTGTGTCAAATCAAATGTATTTGTTGCTTGAATATATTCAGCATTTGCATCCAAAAAAGGATGTTCATTCAAGTCAATCAACAAATTATAAATTCCATGATGAACAAATCCATCTGCTACCCATTTAGATATCATTATTGAAGTCATTATTGGCTAATTATGGAAATTTTTATTATTAATAAATTAGTGAATTAATAAATCCAAATATTATATACCATTGTCAATACTTACTAATACATATGTTAATGCACCTGTTAATTCAAACATAATTACTGTTAAAGAAACTGTCATTCTAGTCACACCAGCTAAAGCAGCAGCAGCTCCTACCATCGCATATACACCAGGTATCACACAATCATTTGGTGCTCTTGGATCACATTGTTCAAACACTGGAGAATCCGGGTACTGACTAAATTAAATTAATGAAGATTATATAAATAATAATTCTTTTTTTTTTTAAAGAAAAAAAATCATTATTATTAATTATTATTTAATTTACAAGGTAAGCCATTGTACAACCAATCCCAACATTCTACCAAAACATGCACCAATTAATAATGCAGGTATAAATATACCAGCTGGGGTTCTTATACCAAAAGTTATTATACATGTTAAAAATTTGGGATTAAGATATGTTTGTGTGACTGAAAATGGTCAATATGTTGGTGTTATACACAAAAAGTGGTTACTAAGATATTTAAAGGAGATGGAAGGAAAAAAAGAAGATTTAGGTTGATTTAATTTATTTTGATTTCCAGAACAATAAATGGGCATGTCCCAAATATTATGGAACATAAATCCCATTTATCATAGACGCTTGCTCTCTCAATAAATGAGGATTATTCAAGACATTTACCATGGTAGATTTTATTAGTTGTTATTTTCTTGTATGTCCTATACACCATTCAAGCAGCAACAAATTTGTTAAGTAAATAAAGTAATTAATATTATGAAACTTTCACGACAAAGTCAACCTTTCTTTGCCACGAGTGACACTTTATGAGTAGACTTGAAAGTATTAATCCATCAATCAAATCCTCCTTCAAAATATTTATTTCATCTCAATATCAAGATTATAATCAATGGGCACTTTTGCAAAGATTCAATTACAAGTCCCAAGACAGTTAAAATGTTATTTTAACATACATTTCTTTTTATATAAAGGTTCAATAATAAATAACTTTTGAGAAACTGAAAAATTCCATATAGATATTTTAATTAGGTCTAACGTATTAAATTTAGGTGTTCAACTTGACTGAAAAATCTTTATCTCACACCTATGTTAAATAACGGTTGTCACATGGAATGCAAAATTTCTTCGGATTCAAAAAGAATCTGATCGATCAAAAAAAATCTAATATACGGTGGCTAACTAAAACTTTGCAATGTTTTGTTTGGCCATGTTTGAAGGTAAAGAAGTTGTGAAAAAAATATTTGTCAGCGTATTCTCTCACTCTCGCGATAGTTAGTTGCCCAAAATTATATTGCAAAACCATTCCCGCGAACAACTATAATTTTAACAAAAACCAAATAATTTAAATGTTTTCCTTATTATTATTTTTTGTTACATCATACCACCTCACTTGACGCGCTTGCTGGTCTTGGCCAGACGTTGTACATACTCTCCTTTCTACCATGATGCAGTTTCCGCCAAACTAGCTCCATTAATTGATCTATTTTTTATAGAAGAAGATTTCACCTTTGATATTGATATGGTAGAGATTTATAAATTCGGGAAACGCAGATCACCATGGATGAACTCATACACTTCTTATTGTATTTAATTTCACAAAGACAATAAAAAGACATGAAGCCAAGAATTGGATTGTCATGATAAAAAAAACAAGCTTTTGGTTTGCGTGAATTTAGCAAGCGAATATAAAATTGCATTTATATATATACACTGCCTGGAAGAAAGTATCCGAACCTCGATTTTTATTAATTCCGCAAACTTTTACATAATAAAATTTTTTTTTGAAAATATCATCATTTAGCTTAGGTTCTAACGAATGTGTATACAATCTTTCACAATTCTGCTATTTATAATAATTTTTTAACCAAAAAAAAACGAACTTCAATTAATATAAAAAATATAAAAAATGATCATCAAAAATTTTCTAAAAACCAAAATTTTATTAAAACATCACAAGTTCATGCAAATTTTTGCGAATTGTTTTAACTGACACTTCAACACCACTGACACCAACAAATTTTCTTTGAATCTCTTCTGCAGAACTGCGATTATTTTTTAATGCAATTTCTCTGAGAGTTTTTTGTTCACTAACATTTAATGCACAGGGACGTCCACTTCTTGGTGCTATATATCCTACTAACATATTATTATCTATTATTGGAAATCCAGTGTCTGAATAACCTGAAATTGCTATTGTAAAATATAATTAATTAGCTAACAATAATAATATTACAGAATATTTATTAAAATACTTACATAAATTTTTTAATTTTGCTTTTAATTCACCCACAGTATTCAAATCATTAACATCAATAATTTCTAAATCTTTTTGTGTCAAATCAAATGTATTTGTTGCTTGAATATATTCAGCATTTGCATCCAAAAAAGGATGTTCATTCAAGTCAATCAACAAATTATAAATTCCATGATGAACAAATCCATCTGCTACCCATTTAGATATCATTATTGAAGTCATGATTGGCTAGTTATGGAATTTTTTATTATTAATAAATTAGTAAATTAATAAATCCAAATATTATATACCATTGTCAATACTTACTAATACATATGTTAATGCACCTGTTAATTCAAACATAATTACTGTTAAAGAAACTGTCATTCTAGTCACACCAGCTAAAGAAGCAGCAGCTCCTACCATTGCATATACACCAGGTATCACACAATCATTTGGTGCTCTTGGATTACATTGTTCAAACACTGGAGAGTCTGGATACTGACTAAATTAAATTAAAGAAAAATATATAAATAATTCTTTTTTTTAAAAAAAAAAATCATTATTATTAATTATTATTTAACTTACAAGGTAAGCCATTGTACAACCAATCCCAGCATTCTACCAAAACATGCACCAATTAATAATGCAGGTATAAATATACCAGCTGGGGTTCTTATACCAAAAGTTATTATACATGTTAAAAATTTGGACATTAAGGCCACTGCAAGTAAATGAAATATTGGATATACATCTTTGGCCGAATATCTATTCAATTATATGAAATTTAATATTAATAAAAGTATTATTATTATTATTATTATGAACAGATACATATATGTATAAACTTACACACAAAGACCTAATGAATCTTTTTCATCTGAACATTCACTAAATAAATTTGCCACCAAATCAGTATTTGATATCCTATTTTTAAAAGTAAAGTTATGTGTCAGAAATGAAATACTGAAATAATTTTAAAAAAATAAAAATAAAAATGCACAGTTTACTTTGTAAAAGGATTTAAATAATTAAGAGATGAAGTGAGAATAACAACCATTGCTACTTCTATTATTGGCCATTGTTTAAGCCTGGTGCCATTTCTAATATATTTGGTGTATAAAACAATGCATTTACATAATAGTGCTCCAAATAATCCCTAAATAATAGAAAATAATTGACTGATTATTTTTATATCCCATAATGTGAAAATTGGTTTCTTTACTACATACACCTAATATACCAAGGATTAGAAATGATCCAATTTCAAAAAAATGCCAGTCTTTATCATATTTTACTTGAAACATTACAATTTTACCAGTGCCGAATGGATCTATAAACTAATGAATAATTAAAAACAAAAAATTTTTATTTAATAAAAAAATAAAAATTTTAAAAAAGTACTCATTTACAAACCTTTAGAGAAACGGCTGCTACAATTGCACAAAAGAAACTTCTACACAGAGTTTTACTTGGAAAATAATAACTAACTTCTTCCAAAGAAAACAATACACCACCAATTGGTGCAGCAAATGCTACACTTACACCAGCTGCAGCTGATGCAGATAATATTTCTCTTCTTTTCCCTTCATTTTTATTATATTTATGGAATAATCTACTTATCACATTGCCAACACAACATGCTATATGAACAAATGGGCCTTCTTTTCCAAGAGTCATTCCAGATGATACTGCCATTGCCTAATGGATTCGATTAATAAAATAAATAAAATAAGATAAATTATTGTGACAAGTTTACTTGATAATAATAATAATAATAATATACAAACCAATGCAATGGCTTTAACCCAAAGTGTTCTTATACCAAGGAATCCACGAATAACAAAGCCACTTAAAATCGTTTTAACCTCAGGTATACCACTACCAGAAGCATATGGTTTAGGTTGTCTACTTTTTTGTGAATCATTGTTTGATCTTATTGAACGTTTTGAAGAAGGTGATGCATAAAGTGAATTGTATTTCACAAGTAAGGCTGATCCAACTGCAAACCAAAACTTTATAAAATAAACAATTATTATCTATATTAATAAATTTTTTTAAAAGTAATATAATGATGTTCTAAAAAAGCTTACAGCAATAAACACATAGGCAAAATAATTAAACCAAGCACTTTTTTCAGGATCTTCCATTTTAAATGCACTGGACCATTCAACCCATTCAGCACATGATTCTGAGTAAGATAAATATATGTGCATATGTGTATAAAAATTAAAAAATTTCTTGTAAATTACTACTATAAACATTTTGAAAAATTTTTCATACCAGGTTTTTGATTTTTGCAGCAAAATTGTTTTTTCAATGTAATACCATTTGAACAATATCCATCCTTTAAATCTGAACCCCATTCAGCAGTTACATCAACTATGCCAGCAACGCATGCAACAACAATACCTTGATGCAAATCAAATTAAAAATAATAGTTAATTAAATTTGGGAGGAAGATGATATCAAAAAAGAAAATAGGTAATAATTACCAATAAGAAATACCAAAATCCATCCTTGTAAACCATCCCAAGATTTTATAACCCATCCCGAGAATCCTTTACGAGAGTACAATTTACGAACTCGGACACGTTCCTTGATATAATCATGGATCCAATCTGATGTCATGTGTCACGTGTTATAGTATGATCTAATATAAAAAATTATTCAAATCGGGAAGTACTTACCAATAGTTGTGTAATCATCATACCAGACACGAATTCCGCCACCTTCACGAACTAACTCATGCTTATCTTCATCATAAAAGCCGCTTCGCCTTTTATAATGTGTTATAGGAGCTGTAAGTTTACGAATTTGTGAAGGGTTCCAGGTGTGTCTTCTATTGACAAAAGGTCTTTTTGGGTGCTGATTACCACTATTTAAAAAACTTGTTAATTATTAATTAATAAAACATTGATTAAGGATATATTATAAGCAAAAACCAACTTATTACTATCATTCGAGGGGAAATGACTATATCGTCGGAAAGGCTCGGCATTTTCAAGTAATGAAGTGGTTTCAGTTGGTGTAACTTGTGGTTCATTCTCCTCCAATGCCGAATCAATTTGAGTATCCACCGGAATGATTAAATTTTGATTTTGGCTCATAATTTTTTTTTTTTTAGAGAGAAATATTTAAAGTTTTATAAGGGCATATTAGCAGTATTTAAAGAAATAAATATTCATTACCCCTTTTCCACCATAAATCACATGATTTATTTTAATTGGTATTAGTGAATTTATCGCCGTATACGATCCACTTGATATGGATGGACCGACCTCCTTATTATTTATTATTTTATTGTAAATTATATATTTAGTAATACAAATAATTATAAATCATCCACTAATACTAATGAGATATCTATCGTTATTGTATATTTATATTTTAGCATTATTCTATTATTCATTTCATTTCCCATCATAATAAACACACACATATACATACATACACATATATATATATATATGATGAGAGTTTACCTAATTCCGATCACATATATAAAGACTAAAAGCTTTTATATATTTAATTATTGATAATCTTTGACTTTTAAAAGTTATTCGGAACGTATATTTCGAATTAACCTTTGCCATTATTATTATGTTAATGAATGACCTGGTTTATTTGTATTGAATTTCAAGTATTTTTGTTAATATACAATGTAACAATAATAAATCAATTTTTGTGACCTGTCCCATGATATAATTTCCAAACAAAAATGCACATTACATAGCTATTATCATGTGCTTCCACTCTTATTTTTTTTTTTTTTTTTTTAACGACGTAATCTTGTTGTGACATTTATTAATTTAAAATTAAAATATGTAATACATATATATAAAAAAATTTAAATTAGTTACAATGCACAACTCCCCCCCGTTTTACCATAAAATAGTATTCGTTTGGAGCGACTTGACGTCGTACAAAGTCTCATGAGGCCTCCTTTTT